GGAGTAAAACTTTATAGCCTATAAATCAGCCAAATAATGTTTGAACACACCGCTTTAAATAAAAACCTTCAGAATAAAGATAGGACTTTAAAACTTTTGATAAAAAAATAGACTTTTTATGTTGAATTTATGAAATATTCCTAACAAATATATGTTAGATCGAAAGAAAATGCTTGAGTTTGAACCTGCATATAAACATAAAAGTATAAGTGATCATAACTTTGATAATAAACATTTCAAAAACATTTTTGCTGACTAATGGGAGAAGGCACAGTATAAAGATTTAATTTTACAGCTAATGAGAATTGTGTGAATTATGTTGTAAATATTCCTGACATTTTTATTTGACAAATTTCCTGTGCTTATACTGACATTTTAGCGGGTTTCTGTATGAATTTAGACATAATTTGGGAAATATTTTCATAAGAAAAATAAAATTTAAAGGGGGGCTAATAATTCTGACTTCAACTATATATTTTAATTGATCTATTATCCTTTATATTAATGCAAATGAATAACATTTCAACCTTCTTAGCATGAAAAACTCAATTAAAATTGCACATAAATTTCATGCACAAAATATTTACAGTATAGAAGGAACCCCACTGGATTGTTTGCTTAATTAAGTTATAATATTATTGCGCGATTTATTTTTAATTTATATTACATAATATATAATGTTTCCCAGAGATGGGTTGCGGCTGGAAGGGCATCCGCTGCGTAAAAACTTGCTGGATAAGTTGGCGGTTCATTCCGCTGTGGCGACCCCGGATTAATAAAGGGACTAAGCCGACAAAAAAAGGAATGAGTTTTTAAAATTATACAAAAATCGAATTTAATAATTACATTTAATAAGATTTATAATAAAATATAATAATTTTTTTATATATTTAAATTTTTTAAATGTTTGTGCTTTTGCTTTATATAAAACTACAACAAAAACAGAAAAAAAAACAATTCAATACACTACAATATAAAATAATACATATAAAATACAATACATAAAAAAATGTAAAAAAAAAACAAAAAAAAAACACTAACCTATGACAGAACAACTGAACGACAAAACACAGAGGGACAAATACACATGAAAGCAAAATATAATTTAGCTGGTCAGGTTAATGCATAAACAAAAGCAATTATAAAGTAACGTTGTAGTTGTATCACCAAAAAAATGCATTACCCTGACAATAGTGTTATTGTCCAATAATAGTTTGGGCACATTATTAAGAATATTACAGATTATGAATTGTGAATATCAATTAAACTCAGTATTTAATTACTGTGTTATCGAAAGGGGTTATAAGTTAGCTTGTGTTTCTTCCAATGCAATAAGGTTAATATATTTAAATTTTTTGTTTTTATAATTTCTTTATAAAATAATTTTTTTGGCACACTTTGGGTTCATTAGTACCAACTGAGCATGGTGTCAACGCCACAGCCTACCTGAGTATTGCTGCTGACCATGTCCATCCCTTCATGAGCACAGTGTCTCAATCTTCTGATGGCTGCTACTTCCAGCAGGATAACACACCATGTCATAAAGCGTGAATCATCTCAGACTGGTTTACAGAACATGACAATGAGTTCACTGTACTCAAATGGCCTCCACAGTCACCAGATCTCAATCCAATAGAGCAGCTTTGGGATTTGTTGGAATGGGAGATGGGATGGATGTGCAGCCGACAAATCTGCAGCAACTGTGTGATGCTATCATGTCAATATGGAGCAAAATCTCTGAGGAATATTTCCAGTAGCTTGTTGAATCTACGCCACGAAGGAGTAAGGCAGTTCTGAAGGCAAAAAGGAGTCCAACCCGGTACTTGTGAGATGTACCTAATAAAGTGGCCAGTGAGTCTATATTACAGCATAATTCATGAAAGTCAGATAAATAATGCATAAAAGAGAAAATAAAACAAAAACAAAACAATTTTAAGAGAACGTTTAGCAGAAGAAAGAATCTCAAACAGGTTTGCAACACATAAAGAATGAGAAAATCAGATTTTTTTAGGTGAATTATCTATTTA